ATTTTAAACTTATATAAAATATAATTTTAATGAATATTCATAATTGAAAGTATAACATGGAAAGAAAGAGTAAAGTTATGCATATTCACTAACTTAATTAAAACTTTGTTCCAATTCAGAAACATTTTTTAAAATTCTCTACTAAAAAGTTATTAATTTTTGAGTCGTTTCATTTATCAACGTAGCGATAATCTGTAAAACGTAACGTAAAAAGATTTTGCAAAAAGAAGTACATGCAAAAATATATGTAAGAAATAAAAAAAATTTGTTAACTAATCAAATTGAAAGATTTATTGAAATTGATATTAAAAGGTACTATAATTACTTGTAAAATCATCCTTTAAGCAGTAGGAACTAAACACGTCACTTATGGTTAAGATATTATTCTGTACACAGCGCAGCAACTCACATCTAATTGCATGTGAGATAAATAACGAGAGAATGAGAGAGAGCGAGAGTAAGAGAAAGATGAAGAGACAGAAGTAAAACAATAGGGTGTCCTGGGAACAGGGGCGAGATGCGACCGCAGAAAGGAGAATAAAGGTGTCAGGTAATGTGATATATGGGATCGATTTGAATCCGGCGTTTAAGCCGCGAGCCATAATTCAATCTCGATCGCTTTTTCCTTCCTTCTCCATCTCTGCGATTCTCCATTTTCCTCCTTTTCGTTCTCGTCTTTGGCCTCCGCCTCTCGTTCGGCCGTGCACTATCCCTCAAGGGCACGTTCGATACTCAATATATACTTAGGTACATATCCGAGCTACTCTCCGATACCCAATCCTGCATAATATATACGCGTATCGCAAACCCCGTTGACTCCTTTAAAGCCTCGTACACATTGTCTTCTTCGATTACGGACGGATTTCTTCTGGGATTAACGCGTCGCCACGCTGCGTCGCATCGCTCAGGTTTGATATTATACGTTTCGCAATTTTCACAACGGTGCATTACTAATGCGGACATATACCTATGGAACGATTGCTATCCAAAGTTCTTATTGCTCGCATGGGAGCAAAAGTTAATATAAAAGATGCTGCAAAAAGTTTTGACATTCTAGCAATTAGTTTGAGCGTTTTATATTATGGTAATTAGTTTGATGATCTAAAGAAGAATGTTAAGAAAAAGCTGACAAAAGGATTTTTTACTTAAAAAGAAATAGGTTTCAGGAAATCAAAATCTACAAAAAAAAAACACTATTCTTTTGACTTGTAACTTTTTGGCTGAAAAAGTCGGCTTATTTTTAATACTCTTATTTTTAATATCTTTATTTTTAAATCCGTCTAGTTAAAGTTTTAGAGATACTTCAGCAAAATCATTCTTTTCGCATACATAATAAAATGAAAATCTTCCAAAATTTCTATGTAAATGTTTGTTGTCAAATATTGTAACATGTACAAAATATTAAACAGGAGATAACGCGCTTATTTGTCGTAGATGTAACGGAACGTATATCCTAACATTGATTTCACGTTTATAATTATGAATATTTGAGTACACCTCTCGATGATGAACGCACATCCGATAACGTAACATAGTTAAATTATTGTCGAAAAAGTAATCTATCACGTTCGCGAATAAAATGGAGAATGCGATAGGAGGGCGAGAGCAGGGCGAGAGTCACGCGTGAGTGTGGAATTTATTTTATATGGGATTCTTGGCCGTTTGCAAAGCGCGTCTTACGTCGTTGACGTGACGAGACGGGACTCATGTTTTTCCGCGGGTGTGTATGTAAAACGTATATATGGAGAGACGTCTGGGTCTGGGCATGAGAGATCAGAGAGGGAGGCTCAATGATATTCGAGCGGGAAATCTGAAGATCACGTAGTAAACCTTCGCGCGTACGTAAATCGTTATCGTACGTACGTAATGCTAAGCATTCTAGCTTACTGTTTCTCGTATTCGTAGCGCAATTTTAAAATTTTTCTTTCGATATCCTTTTTAATGCCAGTGGAGAAAGATTTGTGTGTGCCCATAATTTGCAAACACATCAATTCGCAAAATATCAATGCGGCAAAGAATAAATTCTGTTTTTTTAATTATTAAGACGACTGTAAAGTACAGTCGAATATCATAAAGAAAACATTTTTTTAGAAGAATGTTTTATACAAAAGTTATACGGTTTGAACGACGAGATTTGTTTCACTTTGAGTATAAGTATGGAGGAGTTTTCAAGGCCAATTTTAAAATTTTGAACGAAAATCTGAATTATTTATTCATTATTCTTGTAGCTAACATCAAGATTCAAAACACTACAATGAATTCCTTTTGATTAAAAAGTTCAAGTATCGCCAGAGCATTAATGTTATTCAATGTGTTCGATCAACGACTAAAACCTCTTAAAGTCAAAATAATTATTTTTATTTATTATTCATATCTTAAAATTTTACTATATTAGTAGTTCATATCATAATTTATAATACAATTTTGCCATATTTGAGAGAATTATACATATAAGGTTATTATTACTAATATTATAGGAGTAATAACCATACAAATGGACTTTGTAATCATAATTTTTTATGGTCATATCTAATTGATATATAATAATTTTTTGTTATAGTCATGCAATTATAGTCACAAATACCAAATACTTTTCTCTCTGTGTACAGATTTGCACACCTGCCTGTTCATAATGTTTATTGCCCGACTTACGCGATGACTTTGCATTAGTTTTGTAGCATTTTGCCGTAACATTTTTGGTGAGACTATTTGACAGTTTTTTGCATGATTTTCTTTTCACGAGAGAATTCCACGTAATTGATGTTTTGAATTTTCACAAATTTTCCGTTGCATCAATTAATTAATATACGATCGTGATCAGTCGCATTGCTCGATATTAGTTACCTTATTTCGTTCCAATTTCTAAAAACGATCTTAATATACGTTAATGCATGTTATTTGTACGTTTGAAGCGTGCAATATAATTTGGAATTGAGAGACACGAATAAATTTTCTGATTAATTATGGTATTTTATGACAATTGGTGATTGTTTGACGATACTCGGAAACATATATAATCTGTGTTAGCTAGCATCATAGCGAGTTAATTACCGTTTGCGCGTCGGTGTGAAATTGACATTGCGAATTTCAAATCTTTCGTATGTACACACGCGCGTGAGTGTCCTTGTTTAAGATTTGACAAATAACAAGGATAAAATGACTCCAAGAGCGTTGTGAGCGTAAATTGAATCGCAACCTTTTCGAACGAATTGTAAAACATAGATATTAGCAGTGACGAGCATGACGTTGAAAAGAACATATATTCTTACATATACGATGGAACAATAGTAACTCAAAATGTAAAACATTTATTAGTTTCAAAGTAAATAACGTATTCCATGTTAACGTATGCACTTAGTCAATAATAAGCTAAATTCGAATCCTTAATGCGTTTTCTTGAATTATTTACTTTCTTTTAGATAAAATGGCGACATGTTGAGAAAGAGCAGTGGCGTCTTAGAAATTATTAAAAATAACTCAAATTATACAATTTGATATTATAATACGAAGATGCGAATAATGTTTACATCCACTATTTGACATCACTGGCTCGAATGAAGCCGGAATGTCCGATATTGATTTTTGCGAAATTTCTTCTTGCGAAATTAATGTAAAATCTTTTTTAGAATATATACTTTTGTCAATTACATGCATTTAACTGCGCCTATTTCTAGCTCTAAATCGCTCGTTAATATATTGTTGTTTATTAAATATCTCGAGAGCTCTCAATTCAGCATTAAATTTACATTATTGATATTATATTATATAAATTTTATGAAATTCGTTTCTCAAAAAGACTCCATTGATTTTCTCCAGCGAGTGTGTGATTTGCAGTATATTTTAAAGGAAATTGACCGCTTTCGAAAATGCCCAGACATGTATCCTCTTCGAGCGCTGTTTGTGCAGCGTTGCGAAGGGGCTGGTGGATTCCGGAGCGTTGCGAGGCAATGCGAGGACGCATGCACATGATACAGACTCGTGGTCTGTAGAACGAGGGGGAAAAAGGAAGCTATGGAAAACGGAGACGGTTACGCCGCCGTATATAAGCCAGACGAAGAGCGAGAGATAAACAACGCGATCGAGGGAAGGGAGACGGAGCATAGGGTCCCGTACGCGCTCGCTAACTCGCCTCGCTTCCGCGGCCGGCCGGGCCGGGTGAAGGTAGTGGGAGTGGGGGTGGGGGAGTATCAGAACGGGAACCGAACACAAGGCAGTGCACGCGCAGCCGCCGGAACGCGCGCATCAGCGTGTATCTCGTATATACGTATCAGTGGAGGTGAAGGAGAGGGAGAAGCCCGCGAAACCGCGATCAACACGGCACTGCGCGCTCGGGCCTCGCGATTGCTTGACGACGTCGATATATATCGCTTCTCAAAACACGAATATATGAGAAATCGAAGATCCTTCCTCACCGTGTGTCGAGAAGTTTGCCGCTCCAGAGTGTGTCAAATGTTTTTTCGTTTTTCGTCCGAACAACTTCGCGACACACGTGAAGTTGCAGTGACTCTGCAGTCTTGACGAGAAAGAAAACCGCCGCGCCGCACCGTCATCGTGCTCGGAGATGCATCATCATCGGTGACGCGAGAACAAGGTACGGTGATTTCAGTGTTTTCATTGAGAACTCGTGACGCTCTAGTGACGTCCATTTCTTTGTGTCGCGTACGTTAGACGCGTCACTTTCATGGCGCACTGACGACTTGACGAGTCGCCAGGCGTGCATTTAATCTTCGCCTGAATCATGTCCCGTGTCGTCGCGGCGCGGCGTAACGGATTCAGATTCGCGTCGGCGAATTAACGTATTCCTTCAACCTTGGCTCTTTCTAATAACAGAACGATCGAGCGACGCTTGTCGAAGGTCAAAGGGTAGTCGGTGTTGGGATTTTTCTGCGGTCATTTTGGAGTGTTCGTTCGCGAGAGTCGTTAGTTTCTTTTTTTTTTACCGCGAATTCGAGAGTTTGAAATTATTTCGGGGCGACGCGTCGAATTATTTCGGCGCGTCGCGGCACGCCAGGCGAGCGCGACTCGCAAGCGGCGCGAAGTGAGCCGCGCGTGTCGTAAAGTCACTCAAGATTCGAATATCCCGCCGCGTTCGAACGCCGGGGATCGCGCGCGCTCCCAGTAATCTCGCGGAACTCCGCGACCCGCAATCGTGAATTCGCGAGTGTGCTGTGCAAACGCAGTCGGCGTGAGAGCGGTCGAGTGACTTCTAGCGATGCGCCTGCATGGAACGAGGATGTCGCGGAAGGAGGAGGACGATCTAACGATCGATCATGTACGTCGCTGAGGAGCTCCATTTTCTGTCACATCCAACTCACGAGTTGTCCGGTGAGTCAAGGATTTGTCTTTTTAATTTGTATTACGTGACTCTGTATTGAAATTTTAAGAAAATGTCTTTATGAAATTGTCCTTTTTTTTCTTAATCGTGCCTCCAGTGTACATTAAAGTAATACCTATAGCGTTGCTTAAAGTTAACGCAATTGAACGATCTTTGTTTCATTTTGAAAATAAAAATTCGAAAAATGAGAATGAGAAATATGTTACTTAAAATTATGTAAGGCTGTGAAAAACAAATTTTCACGAGATAATTGAAGAAAATATTCCTTGAATATCCCTGGAATTGCGAATACCAATATAAGAATTAATTTCTGTTGTGTAAAATTTGAAAAACTGTAATGATAAATTCATATTAATAATTCTGATAATTTAAAGTATGTGAAAAAATGCGTTCTATTTTTCTATCCAACATAGAACCACTTTCTTATAAAATTCGATAAAATATCGTTGATTTCAATATTACATAATATAATTTGATTTATGTTATTTTTTTCGTCTCATTAAGATTGATTTTGGAATCGTTTGTAATATCTGCTTTTTCCAACGATTCTTGGAATATTCGATATAACTGTATTGCACAGCACAATTATATATACAGAGTAGCTATAATTGCTACAATTACAAAATCGTAATATTCGAATTTATGTAACGTATATATTTGGCGTGTAAATAGACATTACGTAAATAAATAGATATTCCTAGATTAATAACACGTGTATGTAAATTATGATTTCATAATTTCTATTTTTATTATTAACAAATTGTATTTTTATTAAATATCTATTATTCATAATACTGCTATTAGTAATAGGAACAAAAAAGAAAAGAATTTACGCAAATACAATTTGAACTGGTATAATTGTTTTCCGAATTTCACATATCTTATTTATACATAATTTTTACAAAGTAGTATATTTTTCTATGGACAAAACGGTTTCAGAAATCAAAGTTATATGATCCCCTTAAAAAAGAATTATTTAAATTCATGCCTTACGGTGTAATTCGTAATAATATACATATATCATTTAGGTCGATTGCACCAACGTTATTTTGACTTTAAGCGCGAGGCTTAAAATTCTCTCTCCCTTTTAAAGCCGAGAGAAAGATAATTATTATCATAGCGTAGTGATAATGATGAACAAATTCAAACGCTATTGAGATAAATTATGACAGAATCAAAATCGAGACAAAATTATTTTAATCTACTATGACGAACTTAATCGCGGATGTATTCATGAGATAGAAAACGGTGCAGCGCGCATTCGACTGTTCGACGAAAAGATCGTTATAGTCTGGTGCTTCCGTGAAAGGTTGAAGAACGCGACACGATTCCGTTGAAGAAGACCACCTCTTCAAGTAGGCGCTTAAACGTCAACATCTTGGAGAGCCCAGTCATTCGCTACGAGTGCATCCGTGGAGTGCGGCAGCCGCATCGTCTGTCCTCTCGTGACGTCTTGGTTTCCTCTCGTCTGTCCCTTTGCCTCCCTTTGCCTTTGCCCTTCTCATCAAGAGAAGCGGCAAGAATTAATGCGCGGTATAACGAGGAATTCATATCAACGAAATATTTCCAGCCGTTCTATTAATTGCGCTTCCATTTCCGCTCCACCGATTGCATTCGTGATATATATCATATATGCGCGAAATATGTTTCAACTGAAGTTGTTTACTGCACGGGTTATACTCGCGAGTCGCGGCAAGATAATTCGGAGCATAATAGTACGCTGGAGTGAGACAGCCAATTGCAATGTTTATTTAGAGAATGGTAATTTTTTTGCAAATTATGTTCGTGCGAAAATCGCGGAAACTATTCTACCGTAGGTAATTTTGTCGTGGTTTCCATTCGAAGCGATATTGGTTATCGAAGTAATTTGTTACAAAATATATTTTACGCAGGATGATTTTTTTTATAGCGGTGAAATTATTTTTTACAAATATTTTTGTATTAAGTTTGTAAAAATTTTATTTATATATATATTTGAAATAAAATGGCTAATGGTAAAATATATTTAGAATAGTGTAATTTATTGCGCGTGAATTATATTTGAGATATAATAATTATCTTTTTCTTAAGTGCCAATATGTATCAAAAATATTCTGATAACTTATGATAAATTATATTAAAACAAGATGTATTCAAAATGTTAATAAGAATATTCACGGTTCGTGCTATCATATTTGATTTTAAAATATATTCGGTTGTATTATGTAATGTAAAGAGTCGGTTTAACGCAGAATACGAACATAATTTACAACAAACTATATTGAACGTAATATGATCTGTTAAACCTAAGGCATATTCAGTATACCTACGTACATTGTTCGTAATATTCCGCGTAATGTAATATATCGTGGATTGTATTGAAGCAAGATAGCAATGTGGAATATGTGTGAAACAATATCTAATCACAAACAACATCCGCGATATACTAGATTAGTTCATTCCAAAGTATATTGCTCGCGGCGTATAACATACAGCAAAATATATTCGTATCTATATAACTCGGTACAATGCACATGGGTTTATCACGAGTAATAATTCGGCGCAACGTAACTTATTGCTACCTATATATATTGCGAAATGGCTTATTGAAGATTATGCTCGAAACTATTATCGATTCTGCGGAGAATATTATAGCAATTAGTTACTTTATTACTGGAGTATATTTGGAGTAATGTAATACCGCGATTGATAGACAAAAATAGGAAACGAACGCAGGTGATAGAATTGATGGGAAAGGGATGGGCAAAATCACGGAGTAGAGGAAGGCTGGAGAAAATTGAAGAGGTCGCATCGTTGATGAGTGCGCTGAACCAGGGCTCTTCAGATCTAGGGGAGGTCCTACTCTAATTTCAGCGAGACGCTTCTCCGTGTCTCTCTCCCCATTTTCGCGGTCTTCGTTTTAGAAAGGCTGTATGTCGAAAGTGAGACTGTGTGCTCACGCAAGTATGGGAGAGAGGCGCAAGAAAGAGCAGAGACGAATCACTTGTCCTCGAAGAAGTTCCATCCGTCGAGTGCGGTGAGAAGCCCTCTAAGATGAGGTGACGGGAAACAGAGGACTGGTCTTCTGTCCGCGACTTTCCACCTCGCTGAGAAATTTTCCAATTGAGCGCCTAACTCTGGAACCGGATTAATGTTTAACCCCGTTAACAATAGACGCTTTTAAGAAACCTTGCCTTCGCCTAAAAACTCGGTTGAGATGCGCCACTAAAAAATGCAATATGCTACTTAAGCCGCTTGCACTTAAGCAATATTTTTCACCGCAGAACTTTATATGGTACATTTTGTAACAAGCGAATGTTATGGGAGCGTAAAATATAACACACGTACACACACATCGACTTTTATCACTTTTATCAAAACAAATATATATTTATAAAATTAGAATGAGAAGATGTAATAGATTTTTATTAAAAAATATTTAAGCACAAAAATTTGTGCATATATAAAATAAATAATTTTAGAATCAGATTAATGACAATAGACGATTAATAATATAATTGGACTTAAATTATTTAAGCTTTTTGCAAAATTTTGTAAAATTTATTACTTATAAATAATTGGATTTTTTGTTAGCTACTTTGTAAAATTATAAAAATAAGTATATCGCTATAATTTATAGTAAAATTTTACCAACGTTCTTAGAGTATTGTCATTTTTTTCTTTGAAATTTTCTTATGAAGATTGATGTTATATTTATTTATCTTCATATTTTATTTTTGTTATATTTTTCAATGATTAATATCGATTGTTATGTAGGAATATTCATACAATAATATGCGTGTTCATATTGCTAATATATTCGCAAATGCAGCGTAAAACTTATTTAAATTTATCGAAGATGATGAGACATTAGTATGCTAAATTTGTGTAGAATGCAAATCTGTTTTTTTATAAATTATATTGTTTCCAAAAACCGTCGTTATTATATACGTAAATGAAAATAATCTATGATTCTTCCATTAGTCTCTCTATCTAGTCGACCAATTTTATCAACGCTATTACTTTATTATATTTACATATTTACCATAATTAGCGCGATAAAATTTGCGGATTACAAACGGATACGGCGACCGGACGAAAAGAGAAACGGAAATGCATGCAGAGGGTGGCCTGGCGTTTCATTTTGAACGAGGAGAGCATTCTCCACGGTCGGCTGGTTCGTTCTAAACAGGCAATATTACCTATTGACTTTGGCTCGTAGGGTTGGCTGATGGTTGACTAATTGTAAGCCGAATACGAGTTTTAGCGGAATTTGTTTATATGCAGTTTTACCTTATATCAATTTTAATTTATTAAGTTTGATCGTTGGAATAATTAAATAAATATTAGAATTAAAATATTACATTAGCGTAAAATTATACATTCTCTTTTAAAAAGAAATGGGACTATACATTATCATAAATTAAAGATTTAATTAAAATAAATCATTCCAAAAGCTGAAGAAAAATTAGAGAAGGAAGAAACTCGAAATGCTCTTTGATTACAAAATCACTTTTTTCTCTAGTATCTTTTTTTCATTTTTAAAATGTTACTCGACCTGAATTATTCCAAGCCATATGTACATCCGAATTAAAGTCTCCTGGTTTTCAACGGATGATTACTTTGCCAGAAATTTTTGTCGAAGCATGATCTCGGCGCATGTTCATTCCGACAGCTGTCCGATTTGTCCCGCGTCTGGTGCATCTCCAGCATCTCGCGCTTATTCAGCTTCACATTCGAGTTCATGGACGCTCGTAAAATTTCGGGTTCTGGCCGCGAGTACGTAGATTTCTTTGCGTTTTACTCATCCTATGATCTCATCTTTGCATCTTACTCCTTTTGATCTCTTAATGCATCTTTACTCAGAGAGACATTCTTGGACTGCGGTGTTTTATTCTTCTTTTCTTCGCATCACATAAAATCCGACTCTCTGACGATTCACGTGATTATAACGAGTTTTCAACTTTGAAATATTGATTTTACTTGACTGAATAAACGCGTCTTTATCACA